AGTCTAAGGATGTATAAATATACCTTTGCAGCACTTTATCATCTCACTATTAATGTTCAACATATATTGTAAATCCTAAAAGTATTTTATTTGTTACAGTAGGTCAGGTCAGAGCCTCTCGTGGGTATGTGTAATAAGTTGGTACTGATGTTACTCAAAAATCAGACAGATATGATGAACATTCATTCCACAAATAAAATGTATTGTCTTGTAGGTATACTTTATAGTCTGATATTGTTTAGATGTCTTGAGTCTTATTGTCTTTGTACATGCTGTTTTTTGACCTTGAGCTGTTTGTTTGCTTTGTGGTATAAACAAACTTGTGTTACATTTAATAGTGCAATGCTCTAGACCCATCTAATAGCCACTGTGAGTATATTTAGGTCTTGATTCATGACAGAATTCATGCAAATATTTCTTGCTGACTGTTATGGCATGATCATTTAATCGTTACATCCTAAATCAGTTGAATTTGCATCTTATGCATGTTTCAGACATCACATTTCCTTCAAAAGCGGAGCTGGGGATTTGCTCTTGTTTACTGTGATTTGCATTCTGTACTGCGAGTAGCTTTAAATACGCAAATCACAAATGTTTACTGTTAAACAAAACCTTTAATATTTCTTTGAAAGCAAGTATCAATTTTGATGGAATATGTTCATCCCTCCTTATGATTTCAATTAACAGTTTACACATACTGTATAAACTTTTTGTTGATGCCTTTATTTAAGTGTTCATATGCTTTTGATTGAGATAATGAAATCACAGTGCTGCTTAATGGAGATGTAGAAATGCTGTCGTTTGTGTTTTTATTTTTATTTTCTTTATTGTAGTTTTTTGTGTATGTATTTATTTGTTTTTGGTTCTTATGAATGTTTCATCTTTGTGTGTCAAAATTCACTACTCTTTGGCCTTAGTACACTAAATATAAAAGGCAACCATTGCTTTTTTTCATTCAGCATTGTGTGTGCGTATAAATGGGATATGCTACTAATTATTTTTTTTATGAAATGTTCTGTTTATTTGTACTCCTGTACTTAATGTACATAGTGGAATTTCCACAAGTAGAATGTAAGTGACGCAGTGTCTGTTCCCTTTATGACGTCACATTGGCTGCTTCTTAACCTAACTGCAAAAGAGCTTTAGTATTTTTATGCCAAACACTAGGAACTCTAGTATTCAGCCACTACATTAATTGAAATGATATTTAGATCTTGGAATAAATACTGCAAATGTATACGTTAACTTTGTGTAGGCGATGATGATGTCATAGTGAAAACTGTTGTGATCGTAAACTTGAAAGTGTCCAGCTAAGCTCAAGTTTTTCTCAGTAAAGAGTGCATGCATATTTTTGTGGCAAGAATAACTTTTGTTGCTTTTTGTTTTTGTTTTTCAACATGTGTCTTATTTAACTTAGTATAGGACATAATTTATAATTAGGTATAATAATAATGATAAAATTATGATTATTTTTGTTCTTTAGAGGCTGGCCATGTGTATAGTTTGGCTATGTTCTAGGCTATGCTGATGCACATGAAACTGGAAAATAAACTGCAGAAAATAATTTTTTGTCCATTAAATGAATCAAGCATAATACTGCTAATTATATTACGCTAATACAATAATGGGTTTTATTTTCTTCTATTCTCTGTTATTGTCCTGAGCAAATATTAATGTCTGCAAATGGTTGTGTTCTAAATTGGGTTATGTTTGGCACATTCAGCTGGACAAAGCTTTGTAGAACATTCCCTAGTTGTGATACATTTTATGGAATCAAAATAATACTGAAGTGAGTCTGAAAAAAAAAAAATCAGTAACCACGGAAGGTTGCATTTTTGTCTCTGATTATTATTCAAAGCCATATACAAATGGCACATGATATAAAGTACTATTCAGTTGTATATTTGTAAAGGATCAACTACACCTGAATTCGGCTAATCGGGTTCATTTTTCAGTGATTGTTGAGCTAGTTTGAACGCTGAACATGCATAATAAAATAGCATGGTTCTGAGTAATTGAATCCTGCAGTTTCAGAAAGAAAAAAAAAACGTAGATTTCTCTTTATCCCTTTATGTTGCATACATAGTCATTTTCATGTAGCACACATTTTCAAGTACACCGGAGTGTGAGGCTCTTGTCTCAAACAGAATCACAACACTTATTTAACTCCAAACAGCATGGTGCTACAATGTACAGAGTTCAAAGATCAATAATATTCACATAGGCATGTGAACTCTCGTTCCAATCAGCATTAGTCGATGAGCTTCAGGTCGTTTCAGATCTCTTGCTTTGTGGCCAGAATACAATCTATAACTGGTGTTGTTCCTGGTGGAAGGCCTTGTCAATTCTTCCTGCCTGAGGTTTCTTCCCAGGGGGTAGGAAGACTGGGGTAATGTATTTGACACAGGGCTGGAGGGTAAATCATACTTATTTTGAAAAGTTATGTTAAAAATAGATGGCAGGTGATTGTTGACCTGGGACAGCCAATGCTTTGTGCTGGGAGGTTTTTTTAACCTGTAGCCATTCTCTTCTGGGATAAAGTCTATGAGGGCCTTGAAGACATTTCCTGTGTCACCACTGACACTCAATATTTCACCATCAGTGACGGCACCGGTGGCATCGGACGTCATGGCCTTGGTGACAACTTCTGCTGGGTGGCAATCTGTTGGCTCCACCCTTTTAAAAAGACTGTAGTTCCTCTGGTTTCTGGACTCTTTGACAGGCGGCAACACACTAAAGCTTCTGATGCTAAGAGCAACTCTATTTTCCCTCTGAATTTGGCACGGTTCTATATGGTAATGGCAGACTGATGGTGATTTGTTTTGTTTACACTGTTCATCTCCAGACAGCAGTTTGTTGATTAATGGCTCTGACATATTTTGCAGAGATAAGCTGAAAGAGTATAGTTCATCTGACGAGGAATTGTCCGTTTCCTCTGCAAGATCCAGAAGTGTTGGGGCAGTCTTTCTGAAAGTTTTCAGAGCATTTCCAGCAGAGCAATAGATTGGCAGATCAGAAAGATTAAGGTCCGCACAGAGGAGACAGTGAGAGTCTATTGTGTCTTGCTTGATTTTTTTCCCCTTCCTTGGAGGTTGAAGAAATGCACCAAAAGGAGGAAATCTCCCCCAACCTTCAACCTGTTAAAAAATGCAGCCTGTGAGTTTTGACATTTAAATTAACAAATGCAATCTTTGCACTGTGAGAACACTACAGAAGCTTCATCTGAAATGCATATGCATACCACAAAGTTTACACTGCCTTTACACACACAATGTATTTACAGACTGCTCAATGCTGCAGAGAGACAGCACAGTTGCATTTACGGACTTTACAACTTATTAAGTTATGAAGTTAGTGTTATATATGACATTATGGATATACAAACAAGAAATAATGAATGAAAATAATTATAATCATAAAAAAAGATTAAATTATAAAATATATAATATATATATAGTATACATACACTGATGCAGCCAAACCGGAGTTGTGCTATTAATACAGTGAGAGAGAGTTATGAGGGACCTTGGAACATGAATGAGGAACACAAGCAAATGATTACAAATGGGTTACAAATCTTTCGTTTGGGCTCAAATTAAAACCCATTTGTAATTATTTGCGTGTTCCTCATTCATCATTTAGTCCCCAACAGAGTATAGGGTTAAAAAAAAAAGTTGCTGCCTTAAATTTTTCAGTACAATCAACTTAGCTGTATAAGTCATTTCAACTTAAATTACATTAAACTTACTTAAAAACATGAGTTGAATCTTGTATAACTTATTTTAAAAAGTTGAGAATTGCTTAACTTATTTTGATGAGTTAATGTAAAAACATGTTATCATGACATTGATTGTACCATTTTTTACAGTGTAACACTGATCTATATAAATAATGATATAAATTCTTTATTATATATATATATATATATATATATCAGTGGTTAATAATGATAATAATAATAATTATAATAATAGTAAATTTATGTAATTCCCAAACTAATGTACAATTAATGAAAAAATATAGATATAAATAGAATATAGAAACAAAGAGGGACAAAGACTGATATACATAAAATTATACAGCAATGTCAAAAGAGAGATCAGTTAGATCAGGGGAAAGCACTGTCAGAATAACTATGTCTTTTTCTGATGTGTTTTTAGATAACGAGCATGATAAAGGACATTATTCCTGCCATCTACAATCTTTAGTTCTGGTTCGGTCCTGTTAATTTGACTCACAGCGTCTTCCCAGCCAGTGCGGCTCTGAAGCAAATGTATGTTGTGCTCCCTGCTACAATCCTCTTCGCTGAGATCCAACAACACATTCACATACTGTCTGCCCGAAGACTCTGTGTTCCTTTTTGTGCTGTAAATGGTCGTATGCTGTTTCTCAGCATCAGTATCGTCTGATGCACAGACTTCAGTGCTATTCATTCCGGACTGCTTCAGTCACAGCCTGAAACACAGCAACAACAACAACAACAAAAGAGATTTCTGTAAAGATCATTTTGTATCTCACAAGTTAGCTCTCAAGTTGTCAGTTCACGTCTGTAGATAAGGAAAAACTGTTTCGTATGACACCCTAATGAATTAGTCTACTGAAAGACTGAAACATAGCAAACGCATTCGTAAATACATGCATCATAAGAATAAACATGCAATAAGCATCCTAAATAGGCTACATAAACAACTGTCAACTTACGTTAATTTTGACAACACTAACATCTTATATGTGGTACAGTTGGCCAATAAAAAATGAGTGTAAATGCATACATTGGTATTCCATTTCTGTGAAGTAAACTGCGTGAACGGATGTTTAGAGTCCTGGTTGTCATGATAACCGTGGGAGAGGATGACGTAGTGGAAAAAGACGAGGCTGCGTAATGCAATGGTTGTTTTTGTACACTCGATGTAGGGTAGCTTATTGTTAATAAAACAATATATTTAAAAAAAATAGAGTCTTAAAAAAGTAACAGTCTTAAAATTAATTATAGCTTATACACTGTGTTGAAGTTTTGTAAATGTACTTATGATCTTTCCATTTTAGGCATTCACGACACGATTAATATGACAGAATGATTATTTATTTAGTTATTTATCGCATGCTTCATTTTCTTAATTTTGTGAAAATTTAACAGGTATAGGGCCTATGCCGTTTTAAAATGTAGCAATAAAGGCACTCGCATCCCTCTAACTTTACCTTTGGCTAATTGTTGCATACGCTTTGCAGAATGATTACCGATGGGCAGGTCATACTGACATATTATTAATAATAGGTAGGCTATCAAAACGGTTTTCTTTATTTTTTTATTTTTTAAGAAAGTACGTGTATTCTGAGCTGTTATTGCAGTGTTTCATCTACTGTGAGACGTGATCCAGCGCACGGACTGCTTGTGGCTAAGGGGGTGTGTTTAACTGACAGACGGATGGGCTCATGAATATTCATTATTAAAACGCACCGTTCGGGTTCAGTTGATTGGCTGAAAGGTAGACGTCGGTATGAGTGATAGTCAGCTGACGAATTAAGCTCACTTTGGCTTATGAATATTAATTACATTTCTTAACCTCGCGATTGAGGAAGGTTGGCAAGAAGCGTCGGCTTGACCTAATATTTATTCATGACCTAAAGCTTTGCCTTAGTAGGTTTCAACCGGCAGCAGCATCTCGGCAAAGATTGGTTCAGATATCCGCAGTACCATCAACCATAGTGTCCCGTAGCCTACAATGCGGAAGGACACTTAACATCAGACCTCGACTGAAACATTTTCAAAGGATTTGCAGACTCTTTTATGGAAGCCGAGGCTGCTGTGGTAATGCTGCCTCCCAAGAACTGCATCCCCAGAAACTACAGTTGTATCGCTGGGCTGTTCGGAAGCTTGACAGCAGCAGAGCAAAAGCTGGAGGACGGAGAAGAAGAGATGGAGGGAGAGGAAAGCAAGAATGGGGACTGTGAATCGTTAGAAATCAGCGTAGTGAAAGAAAAACCGAGAGGAAGGGAGTCATTCCTGAAGCCCCCGTATAGCCCGACACAGCGCCGCAGGTGCAAGTCTCTCCCCACATCGGCTGAAAGAGCCAAATTAGAGATCGCACGAAGCCGGAGCCCAAGCAGTCAAAAAAAGGTACGTTTCGCTGACTCTCTGGGCCTGGACCTGATTTCTATTAAACACTTTGATGACACGGATATGCCTGAGGTACCAGACCGCATTATTGACAAATTCAAAAAAGCCAGAGCTCTCCACTTGAATAATTTCGACAAGTCCAACACATCAAGCCAGTCCGTGTTTATGGAGCTGCTCTTCGCAAATCCAGGATCCCTGCCAGACTTCCTTGACAGAGTTATTGCAGCGAAGGTTTTACTGGAGTCTGTTCAGGCTAAGGAGTGCAGCCTCTCGGGGATCGCGCGGGTTCTTAACTTGGCTTTCGAAAAAAAGGTCTATTTGAGGTACACCATAAATAACTGGACGACATTTGTGGATATTCTGGCATCTTACGTCCCCCATTCCAGCGACGGTCAGACTGACAAGTTCAGCTTCAAAATCATCACTCCGACTTTTCTGGAGTTTGGAGGAACACTGCAGTTTGCCATCAAGTACTGTGTCGGGGGAGGTGAATTTTGGGACAACAACAATGGGAATAATTACAGAGTAAGACGACACAGATTTAAAATTTCTCCTCCAAGGGAATGGGAGAACGGATGGATCCATTTTATTTAGTGCGCGCATCAGCCGTTCCGCTATGAAGAAGCTTGCTCATTAATATTAATTATGTGGCTTCCATTGACGGATTGGCTAAGTAATAATCATGAGCCAAGGCTTCGCCATAGTAGGATTAGTAATCTCTCCAGCAGTGTACCATGAAGGAACTATACTGACCTTCCATGAAAAACGTATGTAGCATACCACATATTCGTAAATGTAACACCGTTGTCTGTGCGTTTGTCATTGCTTAAGCAATGGTAGAGAATAGGAAATTAAATTGAGGTCAGAAAGGTAACCACTAATTGACGAATGTAACATTAGGCACATTGTTCTCTGACACTGATTGTTTAGCTGCAGTACATGGATGGTTAAGGAGACAAGACCCTGTCCTGCATTCATTAAAATGAGCAGCACCATTTGAATGAACCCAGTTTACATTTAGCTTTAATGCATGTGCTGTAATAGGATATTGTGTAATAACTACATAATCCACAGTGAGCCTGTTACCCGTCAGTTTCAGTGAAATCATGGTGCTTCAGCATCATTGTGCTTGTTTTACATAAAATTGCAGCTAAGGGTTTCGGCTAACGTTACCTCTGAGGAAGATTTTGATACAATAATAAATCAAACCTTTTAGAAGAGGCTATACCTTGGATCCATGAAAAACTGTGACCAGTTCTGCTCTGCCTGCTGCAAGCAGGCCTTGAACAACTGCCTCTTCAGGCCAGGGGAATAAGGATTACCTGCACCAAGGTGTCTTGCTTTAGCAATCCATGTGCAGCAATTAAATATTGCATACATTTTCATGCAGGCTGTTGACTATTTTGTGTTTTACTCTTAAATTTGTCCAAAAAATTACTCTGTTTATATTAAAAAATATATATAATAGTTGGGCTGGTCCACTCAAAAATGAAAATTCTCTCACCATTTACTCACCCTCATGTCATCCCAAATGTTTCTTTAGATGGACACAAATATTTTTAGAAAAATATTACATCTTTTACACATTAACAAAAGGGTCATTTTTTGTGTGGAATTATCCCTTTAACGCATGGTACTGGTCTCATTGTGAACGATTCATCCTCGCATGCTTGCTTTTCCTGTGATATGCTCACTTGACGTCTAAAATGCAGTTGTGTTCAGCGACCATTCCAGTAGGAAACACTCACTTCAAGTCCTGCCTAACATTTCTTCTTGCTCATTTTCACTCTGAAATGTCACAATACGATAGTAGAGTCAGTCGCAACTTCTGATTCAGAAAATCCTTTTGATTTAATCCCTGATTAAATAAAATTCTGTTAACATCTAAACCACATCAATCTTAATAATTACTATTAAGCATGTATATAATCATTTATAGTTGATATGTAATTGTTGATTAAGGAAGGTGTGGCTTACACACATTTAAGTGCTCTGCAGTTTATATTCGTCTTTTTTATTTCCAGCCCTGGTGACCAAGCTGAGAATTTTATTGTATGATGGTCACGCTTAATTTTGAATTTTTTACAGTGTTGGATCTTTCTAATGGGCATTTCATAATCATTTAATGTAATTTATGTCAATGTCATTTTAAATGTCATTTGCATAAATGTCATTTAAATCACACTTTTTTCATACCTTCGTCCATCAGCAATGACGTAGCACATAAATGAATATACTTCAGCTTAATAGTAATTATTAAGATTAATGTGGTTTTGATTTGGTAAAAGGTGCTTGGTGAAAAATATATGATCAAAATATTGATTGTGCATGCACTGTATGAAATCCCCCCACCCACCCCACATTTTTATGGAAAAGGGATTGTAAAATTACAGAAATTTGCATGACAGCATGACACCAAAGTGGCTCTGTAAAATAAAAAAAAATACCTTTGTGAAAAAATGTAAATAAAAGAAGGTAAAATTTTCTGATTTAATAATTGACCTATAACTCAAAAGTTTATGACGCTTCTTTGGGGTTCACTAATGTTACATTAGTAATTGTGAGTTGCTGTCATTGTCTGCATACACTTGTTGACCATTTTTTTCTGGAATACCCAAATCCTATAAACCTTAGATGTCATAAAGTAATTTTATGACTAAATATATTAAAATAAATATATCTCCATCGTTTTATTTATTCTCTTTTAATCAGATGATAACATACAGAAGATTATTTATTTTTTGACAAAACCAAATGAGTAGGTATTTTCAGGGATAATTAACATTTAAAACACCCAGACCTTAATAAAACAAGCTGTTACATTGAAGTGAAGTTATCAGCTTTCATGCTAAAACTATAACAACAGAAAGTGTTCAGACAAGTCGGGGTTTAATTATACCTCACACTGTGTAACCGAAGTCTTGGCAGTTTGTGTTATATTAATAAGTGTTATTTTTAATTGTCTAACATGGGAGTAGGTCAGTGAAGTATTTCAAGCCATACCTGAAACACCTTAGATTTGAAGATTGGACATCTCAATTGATTTCAGTGGCAAAAGCACACTAAAAACAATTATGTCAAAGACTTCTCCATAGTTAAGCATAGACCTTATCTTCAGAATGCTGTCTTTGAACTGCAGTGGCTCTTTATATTTCTATGGCATTGCTGTCAAAGAGTAATTAGCTGGTGAAGCGGATTTACTTTTTGTAGAGTTAACGAAAGTTATCATGAGCACTGTAATGTTTGAAGAGGATGTCATAACAAATGTCAGTAGACCGGGAAGATTTTAAATCGAGTGGTCCATAAATCTGTAAGATCAGTGTTGAAAAGGGGCGGGGCTACGTTCGATCTGGAGTGAATTACTGCCACTGAAGCTGGGCTATCGGGTTGCAGGGCAGATTAAACGACTTCCTGATCCTCTTGTACTCTGCGTCAGTCAGGGCCGTAGCTAGGGTATCTGGGGCCCCGGTACAGGTTGTTGCTGTGGGCCCTCCTCCTCAGTTGAAATGGCAGGAGCCCACTGAAAGCCCTGATAATCGTCACTACCTTTCTCCCACGGCTACAGCTGATGGTTGAACATTGAAAATCATGTCACCCGAAGCAGCCATGTTTCATTAGTGCCCTGTAAATGTTTTGACATCAGTCAAAGATTATGCACTTTTATTTAAGACTTTTTTGGTCTTTAGACGCACTGTGAATAGTTTATTACTGTATGACAAATGATTGTAAAGCTGAACTTTTCAAAAAGTATGAATAGAGCATCTACTCTTTGTAAAGTTATACAGCATTCAAAAAGAATTCAGATACCTTACATATTATGTATTGTTATAATGATATATTTTATATATTAATTATATATTTTGTTGCCACATTTTGTTATGTTACAGCCTTACGCTAAAATGAAATGTAATGCACCTAAGCTAAATTTCAGGTGTCACAAAAAAGCATCTGAACACTTAACCTATTGTATATCTATGTGATATATATATATATATGTATATATATATATATTTTTTTTTTTTGGTTCGGGGCATATTTAAAGCATTTTAGCATAAGGCTGCAACATAACAAAATATGAAAAAAAAAAGGAGTCTGAATACTTTCTGAATGACTGTTGCACAAATGAACATCCTGCTTTTCTTTAACATCCACACGTTATACCTCTTAAATGCCATTCTTTGTATATTTTTTTTTTCTTCACTTGGTTTATTCTCCTTTAGTCATTTTCTGTTTTAAACTACGGGTTTGGGCCAGTTGGAAGGCAAGTCGAAGGAAAAGGCTTGCTATTTTAAGTTCTTATTGTACTGTAAAATAGTTTGATCTTTGTGGAAGAAAATAACTGATATGTGCTGTTGTTTCACAAATGACATCCTGTGTTTGTTTTAACCTATGCAGTACCTGTCTTTAATATTTCTGTTTTGCAATTGTGTCAGTGTGTCATGTTGTTAATCGTTTTATTTTGGAATGGTGATACTGTTATGTCTTCTGCTTGCATGTACAGACATCCTGCACCTTCATTTATATGGTGAAGGTCTAATGTAGCATAATTGAGTTAACACAAGAATTCAAGTATTTTGAGGTATCAGAATTCACTGTGTAATATCTCATTGTTCCTCAGCTTTACCCGCTGTGTAGAGTATTGATGGGGAAATGCACACACCTCAATTCTCTGTGTTTGGTAATAAAATGCTGTTATAATGTAAAATGTTTAAGTGTAGTCATTTGAAGTTTCATAAACTCCTCTTACACATAAAATGCTAAGATTAGTTAGACTACAAGTTAGTCATCTAATTGTTTTTTAAGTTTATGCAAATGTAATTGTTTTTTCTCCCAGTAAATTTTATGGACATTTAATCCTAAAACACAACACAATGCAAAACAGTGTATTCAAATTTCATAAACATCTGTGACAAATCAATGTGGAAAATGCCATAATATTTAGCTTTGATACATTTCTCGGACCATCCTTAATATTTGCTCATTTAAATGTCTTGAATTGTTCTTGAAAGCTTGATTTGCTCCAAGTCTTCAATCAGCATATTGATGAATGCTTTACACAAGATATGCATTAGCATACAGTGATGACGAAAAGTATTTTCAGTAAGTGAAAGATTAAGAGTTGCACTGATATTCGCTTAACCCAACACTTTAAAAATGTCGGACAGTTGTATTGCTATTAATGATAGGACTTCGAAATTAAATACAGTATATTATACCATTTAATTGAAGGCCACTAAAAGTTTATCTCAAATCTTTAATATGATTTAATAGCAAAAATCTTAGTGCTTATCGTTTGGGGTGTACACTCATGGTCTTTGGGGTCTCTGGAGACCCCAGGCAACAAAATTGAATGTTGTAACAAAATAATAATTTTTTTTTTAAACAAATGTAATTTTACTCTGTTTATTAATGTTTTTACTCCACATTTGTGCAGTTTTTGGAGGATTTATGATATTTTTTTAATTTATATAAATAAATATGTTATATAGGTTTTTATACAAAAACAGCTTTTTATGTAAAATTCACGTTATAAAAGACCCACATTTCAAACTTTCATTCATGGGGATAACATGGATCACTTGACATGGTTTAGTGTAAGATTTTTGCCCATCTTTTGGAAAATGCTGTTTTAAAAGTAAAAAATGATCACTTTTACCAGTTAGATGGCTGCAGAGCTCCACTATTTGCTATTTGATTAACTGAAAGATATATTTTCACAAGTTTTATTCAGTTGGATTCATATCTGCATATTATGAAATCACAATTATAACAAGAAAAATTACTTTTTGTCAAAGTTTAGCATTTTTTGTACTGAAAAAAAAATCGTTTTTTTTTTCTCAATAATGCTACATTATGATTAGAATCAAACCTGAACAAGATGTTACAAAGAGAAAAGTTGGAGTCTATAGAGTTTATCATTTATTTCAATCATCTGTTTTTCATATAATTCTACAGATTTTTCTACAAACACACACACGCATAGAGAGAGAGAGAGAGAGATGAAAGGATGCATTCTGATGTTCATGTGGTGTATTGATACTCAATAGGTAATATAACTTAATTTTTGTTCTCTCACAGTTAGTAACTGAAGTGAATACATTTGTAGAATTATATGAAAAACAGATGATTGAAATAAATGATAAACTCTATAGACTCCCAACTTTTCTTTTTGTAACATCTTGTTCAGGTTTGATTCTAATCATAATGTATAACTTTATTGAAAAACTTTTTTTTTTTTTTTTAGTACAAAAATGCTCAACTTTGACAAAGTAATTTTTATTGTTATAGTTGTGATTTCATAATATGTAGATATGAATCCAACTGAAAAAACTTGTGAAAAGATATCTTTCAGTTAATCAAATAGCAAATAGTGGAGCTCTGCAGCCATCTACTGGTAAAAGTGATCATTTTTTTTTATTTTAAAACTGCATTTTCCAAAAGATGGGCAAAAATCTTACACTAAACCATGCCAAATTATCCATGTTATCCCCATGAATGAAAGTTAGAAATGTGGGTCTTTTATAAAGTGAATTTTACATAAAAAGCTGTTTTTGTATAAAAACCTATTTGAAAAAATATTTATTTATATAAATGTAAAAAATATCATAAATCCTCCAAAAACTGCACAAATGGGGAGTAAAAACATTAACAGAGTAAAATTATTTTGTTTTCAAAAAAATTATTTTGTTACAAAATTGCATTTTGTTGCCTGGGGTCTCTAGAGACCCCAAAGACCATGAGTGACTTTTTTTTCACCCTAACATAAAAACATCATTCCATTTTTTTTGCTTTATTTGTAGATCTAAAAGAAAGTGTTGACCACTGTACAAAATTTCATGCCATTTGGACAAAGGTAACTTTTTTTTTTTTTTAAATTTTAGCAAACGTCATTTGCGGGTCAAAAAGACCCCGAAGACCATATGAGGGTTAAAAAAATGTGAGCAGACACATGGTAGGTCTCAGTAGTTTAATTCAACACAGATTCACTCTTTTTCTTATATCATACCCCATATACAAATATACAGTGTTGCACAACAGGTAGTGTAACTACTTTACACAATAATATAACTTTATGGCTCTGCAAGCAAACATTTCAGAGAGTTTTATACTATAAGTAAATTCCACAGAAACTATCAACCCTCAAAATAAACCATAATTTAGTTTTAATTCTAAAACCACAATTTTAATTCCAAATTCTACTGTACATTGTAATCAGATTCATAGTAAAGCTTCTCACAATTTTAGTTTGCTTGCTTATAACTTCTAAAAGTTTGCACATTAATTCAATATTCTCTCTGTACACATACAATTACATTTTATTATTATTTTTTTTATCTCATGTTTATTTCCAGTGCAGACAAGCAAGACATTCATCTTCGGTTTATTTGATGATAGAATGTGAAAAACATAATTGCTTAACTAAATTTAAGATTTCAGTGCATAGCAATTATATCAGATAATCTACACTCTAATGGCCATCTGTGTACCTGCCAATACACAAGGTCTCTGTATTATAAATGCAGGTGTTGAAGTCTATATGGAAACCAGTATGACATAGTAAATTTCAGATCAAGTTGATGTCTCAGAAAATCACAGTTCACCATTCTGCTTTACACCATTTGAGTGAGCAACTAAAGGGAAGCTCCTACATTATTTCATGCATCACAGTAAGCGGAAACACCTGGACTGTGGGCCTTTCTCTTATACTGCCCACACCAGTTTTTTTGCAGATCTTCTATTTGTGCATATGTGATTTTGATGATAATTGTTTTCTAAAGGGACCAACTGAGGCACACGAAAACCAGCACATGAAGCATAAGAAGGTAGCCCATGAATATGTAGCGTGACTTCCCCCTGAATGGCAGTAGTTTGGAACAGCAGCATATGCTCCTTCCTTTGAGCCAACGCTGGCACAATTGAACCCCACTCTTCATCTAAAAAAATAAAATAAAATAAATAAATAATAATAATACCAAATCAAAGTTTAGGCACACTCAAAACTGATATTGAGCATTACTACAGCACATGAGTTTACTTGTAAGCATAAATGTGAAAGTTACTGTAGGTTTATATTCAGGAATTACAGTTGCAAGAAACAGTTTGTGAACCCTTTGGAATTACCTGGATTTCTGCAATGATTAATCATAATTAGGGCTGTCAACTTAATGCGTTTGATTAAATATAACGCATTAAAATTATTGACGCATTTAACACCTTCACTTAAATTTACTTTTGTGGGTAATTTCTCAGCCAAATTTGATGAGCGATTAATTTGCAATTAATTTGATTATTCACCACATAATATAATTAATTAGATTAAAATGTTTAATCACTATTCTTCATCTAAAATTAAAAATTAAAGACAAATACTTTCTGACTAATGACACACAAACAGTTGAACTTTTCAATGAAGACAAAGAATGATCACAGACAGGGCAGGTTCGAAAGTTAGTGAACCCCTGATTTTTTTCTTCTTCTCCTTCTCTCTCTTTTTTATGGTTTTATGGTTTCAATAGCTGGGGGCAATGACTGGAAGTTTCATTTATACATTAATTTATACATGTAGTACCTTGTGCATAAACAGGCGTCGGCTTGGGCGAAGAACAAGATCTTCATACTGTTCCTCATCTTTTTCTAGCTGAATACTAAAGTCCCTTTGAGAATGCCGTGATTGGTTTGACTCCATGCTGAAACACACACACAAGTGAATATCAAATGGTGCACAAAAAACTAGCAAAGTTGGTATCAGTTATTAACACATGAAAAAAATGTATGCATTGGTGTTGCATTATTTTACTTTCAAGAGTAATACGTTACACCGTGGGTCATAAACTTTTCAGGACCAAGAACCACCTTTGATTATTATGGTGTCATTCAGATCTGAAGAGAACATGCGGAAGTCACCAATACAGTGGGGAAAATATTTATTTGATCCCCTGCTGATTTTTCTGAAGTTTGCCCACTTACAAAGAAATGAAGGGTCTGTAATTTTTATGGTAGGTTTATTTTAATGGATAGACACAGAATACCAACAAAAAAAATCCAGAAAAAACACATTATATAAAGGTTAGAGATTGATTTGCATTTCAGTGAGTGAAATAAGTATTTGATCCCCTACCAACCAGCAAGAATTCTGGCTCCCACAGATTGGTTATGTGCCCATGTGGAACACAGATTAGTCCTGTCACTTTAAGAAGTTACTCCTAATGTCAGCTCGTTAGGTGTTTCTTCCACACAATCTGTATCTTCCATTCCAACCTCTCCCACCACCACGGGCAAGACCAAAGAGCTGTCAAAGATGTCAGAGACAAGATTGTAGATCTGCACAAGGCTTGAATGGGCTACAAGACCATCAGCAAGAAGCTTGGTGAGAAGGAGACAACTGTTGGTGCTATTATTCGGAAATGGAAGAAATACAAAACAACCATCAATCGGCCTCGGTCTGGAGCTCCGTGCAAGATCTTGCCTCATGGGGTAAGGATGATCATCAGAAAGATTAGGGATCAGCCCTGAACTACACAGGAGGAGCTTGTTAATGATCTTAAGGCAGCTGGGACCACAGTCACCAAAGCAAACCATTGGTAACACTACGCCGCAATGGATTGAAATCCTGCAGCGCCCGCAAGGTCCCCCTGCTCAAGAAGGTGCATGTACAGGCCCGTTTAAAGTAGGGCTGTGCGATATGGACAAAAAAAACCTATCGCGATTTCTTTGATCAATTTTGCGATTTCAATTTTAATCACGATTTTGACACACACAGACATGCTTTACAGTCATAAATGCATTCAGTGTGAATTTGAAACATATTTCCAAAAGAAAACCAATTAGAGCTTTATCAAAAAGCTGTAACATGTCTCTAGAACAGACATAAGGCAAAATAATCACTAGGTAAAGGTGTAACAAAATGTCTCTAGAATAGACATATGGCAGAAGAAAAAAAAAAACAATCCCGTGTCCAGGGATTTTTTTTTTGCCATGCATTGGTCATAGAGCTCTTTGTGGTGTTGCCTCAGATGCTGAACTAGATGTGTTGCGCCAAGTTCACACGTACTCTGTCTGCAGTGCGTATACAGTATGTGTATGCGGTGCAGAAGCAGCACGGACTCATTTTGCTTTCGCACAGGACGCGTTTGCAGTCCGCTCCTGATCCGCAGCTGTTTACCAAACACAACATTTATCCATTATTTTGATTTCAAATCTTTTTCAGCATTGTGATTCTCTTTTATCACAGTACAGTAATACAATCTTTCATAGACATATTCACGTTTAAACTCAAATATAACTTTGTTTAACTACCACCACGAGTGCCATCTATTATTGCCTTGTTTATCTAAAAGTGCACTTTTCCTTGTTTTAAATCTAGCCAAAAAGCCATGTGTTGACTGAAACAGTAGACTTTAATTATATGCATTTATGGTGTAATTACTAAATTTCCGTGTCAATCCATGTTAATTTTGACCGCAAATAATGTGCTGTCACTTTAATTCAGCGCATGCAGCACAGCAGAAATAGACTCCGTGCGGAAACGATCGCAGCATGACTGCTGCAGACGCACCACATTGGTAACACACTACGCCGCAATGGACTGAAATCCTGCAGCGCCGCAAGGTCCCCCTGCTCAAGAAGGCACATGTACAGGCCCGTTTAAAGTTTTCCAAAGAACATCTAAATGATTCCGAGAAGGCTTGGGAGAAAGTGCTGTGGTCAGATGAGACCAAATTTGAGCTCTTTGGCATTAACTCGACTCGCCGTGTTTGGAGGGAGAGAAATGCTGACTATGACCCCAAGAACGCCATCCCTACAGTCAAGCACGGAGGTGGAAACATTATGCTTTGGGGCTGTTTTTCTGCTAAGGGTACAGGACGACTTCACCGCATTGAGGGGCAAATGGACAGGGCCATTTACTGTAAAATCCTGGACGAGAACCTCAGCCAGAACACTGTCATGCTGGAAGACCCATCCATGACCCATCTTCAATGACCCGAAACATACCACCAAGGTTTTTTCGGTTTTTTCGGTTGGTATTCTGTCTCTATACGTTAAAATAAACCTACCATAAAAATTACAGACCCTTCATTTTTTTGTAAGTGGGCAAACTTACAAAATCAGCAGGGGATCAAATAAATATTTTTCCCACTGTACCTTACTCAGACCAAATGGCCACACTACATAAGAAGTTTGGGAAGCTCCATCACATTGCCTTAAACAAGCCCACCACTGTCAAGGACTTCCCATTTATCAAGTGTGAAGTTACAGCAGCCATTAATTGTTCATTAACATGTTGAAGACTTTGGACCTTGATGATGAAGTTCAGCTAAGATGCGGATCACATGTTGAGGGTGAACTGATTGTCAGAGGTTGCCTTGATCTAGGCCCATACCTTACCTTACTTGGCAGACTATCACCAGTATGGGTAGTGGTGTCAAGGTTATAATTTATAATTTGACACCAAGGTCTACAGGACTATGTGAGATAGAAAGCAAATACAGTCTGCACAGCCCAAAGTTTCACAGCCCAGCAAAGTCCAAAAAGCAGGTAAAATGAGAAAAGGAAACAGAAAATGAAAAAGCGACAGAAAGGTGAATAAGAAATTCTTGAGGTGTAACAGTCCTACCAAGCAGCACTGTGATCTCAAAAGACTCTGTGACCTATGCCAAGGCTCTTGATATACTATGATCCTTTCAGAAGCTGCAGAACAACATGGTTTACAGGGGAAAGCTGGATTTGATTTGATTCTCTACAAAGTACAACAGGATGTCCAAATGCTAAAGGGATAGAGGGTTTCATTCTAAATCTTTCCCATCTTTATTTCACAGCGTCTGGTAAAATCACTTCTATTTCTTTTCCAGTTTACAGAGAAGGTAGGCCTCCCTATTGAGCTGTTCTAGCATGCTAAGTCACTCATGCTGACTCATGCAAGATTGGGTTGGATGCTCCAAGGGTCTGCTCCCTTAGAAGATTATAAACATATTTTGCTAACATTTTTACAGATATTTGCTCATTATCCTGCTTGAGTGGACTTCATTCAGTGGACACCACTTGTTCTGTGATTTATATTATGAGCTTTTAAAAAAGTGAATTCATAAATGTACCTCTTAACTCTCTGTTCCGTCAACCGCATGGCTTCCTCTGCAACCTCTCTCATTGATCTCTCCTCCTCTAATCTAGAGTTTAACTGAGACAGATGAAACTCTGCCTCAGCCAGCCTGGACAAAACATTTAAGAGAGTATCACACAAAAAGTTTACAACATGAGTCATCTACAAACATTGTCTGTCTGTCAAACCTCATCTTGAGATCTCCGCTGTCTGAACCACTTGGGTTAAAATTGGCACTGATTGGTTCCTGAGGGGCTCCTGGTGGAACTTCTGTGTAGACTGAACCCTGTTGAGAAATGAACAGACTTAAACATATAAAAGACTCAATTCTAATTTCAGTTCAAGGCCCTATCATATCTGTTCCTTTTTCAGGGCCAAGAACTAGAGGTGTTGTTGCACCAGTTCTTTCTGTTAGATTTCTTATTATTATTCTTCATCTGGTTGGGAGTGTATGGCAATATATGATACAAATGATGAGATTTGGTAGTAAACCTTTACATATCTTGTTCAAAACTCATCAAAATAGTTTTTTTGCTGGACTATTCAAATGTTAAAATGACAGGACCAGCTACCTGAAAAACAGGAAATGAGGCAACACATGTTATTTCGATTAAAAGTTGTGTAAGCAGGAAAAAGTCATGTGATTACTGAACCACTGCACTGCAGCACCTCTGTGTGTGCACTCTGCCTTTAAATGAACATCAAAATAAATAAATAAACCATTTTTTTAACCATTTATGATATTCATAAAATCAGATACAAGTAAACTTCCAAATTGGCACATTCTGAAATTTACTGATATTTTTACCAATATGATACAGGTTACATTTATTGATCAGCTGATATAGCAATAATCGTCTTCAACTAGATAGTTGCAGTAACAATGTTCATTATATAATTTAAAGAATCAAAAATCATACATATCAACATTCAGCTAGCACCACAATTTCCAACAACCTCACATCCAGTGACCTGTCATTCATATTAACTTTTAGCCAAGAACCCATTGACAAAAAATATATAAGTTTACATGGAAAGGCACCGAAACTTTACTGGACATACTGGAACGGTTAGACTTCAGGCAGAGAAGGTACCTGAGTAAGTGAAATTACTTTAGCCTGTATATATATTAGTGCTGGGCAGTATGACCAAAAATTTAAATCACAGTATTTTTCAAAATTATACCGGTTTCACGGTACATGACTGTATATTTTTTTTTCATGCATGACCGGGTGTTAACCATATCTTCTATGATTGAGAGAGGAAATACTGCAGTATATTGACTTAGAATGCCCTATTTTACTGTCATGATGAGTGAATATTGTCAAAAAATACCACACTAAATAGTGACTAAACACGACCCCTTTTAATACATGTTAACCAGGAGTCACTCTCATTTATAATCGCGGCATCGTCTGATAAAATCAACAAGCATCTACACTAAAGAGCGGCTATGCAGTTGTTTTGGCTATATCACTTTTTTGTCTCATGCAGCGCACTGCCTGCATCTGAGTAACAAACTAAAAAAAACAACAAACAAAAAAGTGCATGTGATATTAACAGACGAACTACGCTCATATTTATAATTCCAAACAAACAGTAAGCGACAGGTGCTTGGGAACGTGGTTTTG